TTTGCCATACGATTTGTTTGCTGTTTCGAACTCAAATTAGCGTTCAAATGAAATCGAACGAATTTAATTATCTTTTCGATTCCGATTTCAAATCTTAGACTATTCGAAGATGCGTTTTTATTGCTAAAAGAAGGTAGTAATCTAGCTGGGAGTATTTATTGCTATAATATCGAGCCCCAACCGCCGAAAAGATGTAAACGACATTTTTTCAAAATTTTAATTTTGATGCACAAATGCATCTACATGCTCTAGGAACATTTCTGCAACCAAATAAAATTTCGAAAAAAATTTCGCTTAAATCGTTTTGAAGGTTAGGGCTCGATAAACACCAATACTACTTTCGCTCAAAACTTCATTAAGTAATTTAAAATAAATATTAATGTAAGAAGTAAAATTAGATACATGCATAATTTAAATTTTTTTACGAGAGATAATCAAAACTTAATATCTTATCTTTTAAGGTACGGGAAAAACCGCTACTTTCTCAATTGCAATATTGCAGCAAATCGATACATCCATTCGCGACTGTCAAGCGTTGATTTTGGCTCCGACTAGAGAGTTGGCAACTCAAATACAACGCGTTGTAATGGCACTTGGTGAATACATGAAGGTACATTCACATGCTTGCATTGGTGGTACTAATGTTCGTGAGGATGCCCGTAACTTGGAAACTGGGTGTCATGTTGTTGTTGGTACACCGGGGCGTGTTTACGACATGATTAATCGAAAAGTGCTTCGTACACACAACATTAAGTTGTTTGTTTTGGACGAGGCCGATGAGATGTTGTCACGTGGCTTCAAAGACCAAATCCAAGATGTTTTTAAAATGCTTCCTCCTGACGTTCAAGTCATCTTGCTATCTGCCACTATGCCGCCTGATGTACTTGAAGTCAGCCGTTGCTTTATGCGTGATCCAGTTAGCATTTTAGTGAAGAAAGAAGAGTTGACGTTGGAGGGTATCAAGCAGTTCTACGTAAATGTAAAACAGGAAAATTGGAAGCTTGGTACTTTGTGTGATTTGTACGACACACTTTCCATCACTCAGTCTGTAATTTTCTGCAACACAAGGCGTAAGGTAAATAAAAATAAAAATAAAAGCTGTTACCTCGTTTAGATATAGGATAATCATCGCATGTTTTGGCAGGTGGATCAGTTGACTCAAGAGATGACAAATCACAATTTCACTGTATCTGCTATGCATGGTGATATGGAGCAACGCGATCGTGAGGTGATTATGAAGCAGTTCCGTTCGGGATCCTCTCGTGTTCTTATAACCACTGATTTGCTCGCACGGGGTATTGATGTGCAGCAAGTTTCGCTTGTCATTAACTATGACTTGCCATCGAATAGAGAAAATTACATTCATAGGTAAAAACTACATATCCTCCTAATGTGAGTTTTAAAACTTTTATATACCTGCTATTTATTTGTAGAATCGGTCGTGGTGGACGGTTTGGGCGCAAAGGTGTTGCTATTAATTTCATTACGGACGAAGATAGAAGAATTCTTAAAGATATTGAACAATTCTACCATACCACTATTGAGGAGATGCCAGCTAACATTGCTGATTTAATTTAAACAGCTGAAACTGCGAGCGTCAGGAGAACCAGTCGTTGTTTCTAACATCATCCAAAAATAAAATCAGCAGAAAGAACCAACATAAGTTTTCCGAAACTCAGTTTATAAAAAATAAAAAGTATATCTGCTATATATTGAACAACAATAGCAAGAACTACTACGTCAAAAAAAAAGATTATATTGTTTTAACTTTTTTCTAGAATATTCAACAACAAAGAAGCAACAACTACATATATTATAATATGATAATAATAAACTAAACGGGCCACAGCTCTAGCAAATACAGGGCGGGAAACTACATCGCATTGTGTATTTACTTTTACCTGGGCTCGAAACTAAAAAGATCAAAGCATTATTCAATTGCTCAGTGGTCATCCTATCATTTTAGGGGTTGTATGGTATTGTACAAAGTACAACGCCTAGGACGATGTTGTCTTTGCGGGTGTGGATGCTCATTTCGATCGCATCGCAGTGTAGGCTGTTGATCGCCGCTCTGTGTCTTGCTGTGTAGCATGGATGATCTATGTACGCGTAATTCCACGAGGAATTGCTTCGACAATATAGTGTTCGTGTTCTTTCAGCGCCAGTACCTGGCTTTCTTCGCGGAAGTGAACTTGGACTATTGCCACTGCCCGGCCGATGCATTGTGGGTTGCGAGCAGGGTCTCTTGAGGACTTCGTTCCTGGCACGCAGTTGGTTGCAGGTATCTGAGGCGTGCGCGGAGAAGGAGGAGGCTATCAAACTCCACTCCCAGGATTTTGGGTGTGTTTGGTTGTTGGTATTTCGCGCGAGCGACGAAGACGTTTAGTTGGAGCCTGATATGGTTTTTTTTAGATGCTAAGAAAGCTAGGACCTGCGGGAGTCGAGTATATCACCGCCGCTTTCAAATTGTCACTGTCTACCCTGAGCATTCCCACGACAGCCGGTTATACGTACCGGAATGGCTCGGGTTGTACCCTGACGG